ATCATGTAGTGAGTGGCACCCAGGAATCCAAAGATTTTTAGTATATTCCCAGGCTTCAAATACAGATACTCAGCCAATATTCATAACTTCAGATACAAACAGAATATATAGATTTAACCGGAATAATCATAATTCTTCTCTTGACACCCTACATGATACATCTTGTATAAGATTTATGAAAACTAGCTAAGAGTGGTAACATATAAATGGTCACTTTATACACAGCATCACATAAGCTCCTTAAGGCAAGTCAACAACTCAAGATTAAAAATATTAAGTACAGATTATGCAGTAGTGGAGTGAATATCTATTCAGGCTCTCTCTATTACACCAGCACAGACTGTCACCTTTGTGTTGCAGAGTTAGCATCCTATTGAGATGAATGGGAAAATTCAAATTAGGGATGTGTGTAGTCGTTCACATGATTAATCAATAAAGCCTGACTATCAGTGACTCCGGACTCCACACACACACACACACACACACACACACACACACACACACACACACACACACACACACACACACACCCTGTTTCCTGCTAGAGAAGCAACAACACAGTGACTGAGAAGGGCAAGTGGAAGCTGGTGCATGCAAGAAGCCAACTTTTTAGCCAGCTCCCTGCTCATACCATCTCCCGCGGAGAAGGCAATTAGGAAGGCTAGAAAAATATTTTAAATGAAAGTTAATTTTCCAGAGATAATTCTAAGGCAAGGAACAAATTCCATAGACAATTCTGATGCTAGGAAAACTGAGCATTGATTACCGCCCCCAAATCTTCAGCTATTCTTTAACTAGCTAAATGAGTGCAGGATTCACATTTGGTGCCTCTAACACCTTGGACTGGCTATAGGATTTCAACCTGAGAGCACATCCTGAAATCTGAGAGGAAAGGAACAATTGCACTCTACAACTGTAGGTTAGATAAATGTCTAGCAGAGATGGTCTAGACAGTATTTGGTCCTGCCATGAGGGCAAGGGACTGGACTCGATGACCTCTCGAGGTCCCTTCCAGTCCTAGTATTCTATGATTCTATATCTCCAGAGATGGATATTCCACAACCTCCCTGGGCAATTTATTCCAGTGTTTGACTACCCTGACTATCATATACATTTTGTGAACTGCACAGGAACCCTGGTTACACACAAGTTAAGATTTTTGGTGTCACTGTTTAGAAAGAAGAAAAAAATCCAGAGCCATGCAAAGCTACCTGCAAGGTTAGCATTTCAGATTTTCAAGGAAGTCAACTCTCCAGAGGAACATAGTACTTAAAAATGGGCAAAGGGTCTTATTCTTAGAATTTAGGTTTCAACAAAGATTGGTTATTTATTAAATTGTTTAATAATTTCAAGAGAAGGGGGTGATAGAAATGTAGCCGTGTTAGTCTGGGGTAGCTGAAGCAAAATGCAGGACCATGTAGCACTTTAAAGACTAACAAGATGGTTTATTAGATGATGAGCTTTCGTGGGCCAGACCCACTTCCTCAGATCAAGTAGTGGAAGAAAATAGTCACAACCATATATACCAAAGGATACAATTAAAAAAATGAACACATATGAAAACGACAAATCACATTTCAGAACAGGAGGGGGATGGGGGGGGAAGGAAGGAAGGTAAGTGTCTGTGAATTGATGATATTAGAGGTGGGGAAAGTGGGATGTCTGTGAGCTAATGGTATTAGAGGTGATAATTGAGGAAGCTATCTTGGTAATGGGTAAGATAGTTTGAGTATTTGTTCATTCCTTCTCGGAGAGTGTCGAATTTTAACATGAATGATAGTTCAGAGGATTCCCTTTCAAGTGCAGATGTAAAAGGTCTTTGTAGCAGAATGCAGGTGGTTAAGTCATTGAGAGTCATTGAGTCCTTTCTGGTTAAAATGGCAAGAAACTGTTTTTTCTTTTTGATCTCCTCATCCTCCTTGATTGGATCCACCTCGTCATCGCCAGCCTGATCCTGGCCTGCATATTTATACCTGCCTCTGGAAATTTCCACTACATGCATCTGACGAAGTGGGTCTTTGCCCACGAAAGCTTATGCTCCTACACTTCAGTTAGTCTATAAGGTGCCACAGGACTCCTCGTCACTCCTTCAAATGTAAAGGTTAGGCAATGCACAAAATAATATGAAATCATTACTTAATGTGTGGTTGTAGTCCACGGAGTACTGTAAAAACAGCATTGTTGGTTCCAGGTTTATCTATATCAATTTTGTTCAGAAACACTGAAAATTAAAAGATGTTTATTACAATCACTGCCAGCCTTTCAGACCCAACTGATCCAGAGGTAGCAGAGTGGGGTGGCAGCAGTCCCTGTCTGTGGGGGGTCTGAGATCCCTGCAGACAGAGGCTGCTGGAGGGTAGGGTGCAGGGGAGGTTGCCCTGAAACAGCCTCTGTCTATTGGGGCAGCGGTGGAGAGGGGGCATTGGGGAATAGGTAATGGGGGAAAAATGGCTTTTAAGCCAATTTGCCCCAGCACCGGCTCCTACTTCTCCCCGCCCCTTGTTGCCTTGGAGGATACAGAGGCAGTGGGGAAAGGGGGGCAAGAAAATAAGTAGTCAACGAGATTAACCAATAAACCTAGGTTTATAGGTTAATCTACCAGTTGTCTGCTCATTCACATCCCTACATTTTACAATCCCTTTCTTGAACATAAGTGCACCAAAACTGAAAGCACACTCATCCACAAGCCCACTCTGCATGTGTGTTTAAAATCAGTTGTATTATCATTACCAGATTTGGTTTAAAACAGTAAACTATCACTAGTAATTGAAATAGAAAAATAAAATAAACCAAGTGATTGTGCATCTTAATCCCCTATATTAAAAGAACAATTATGAGATGAGCTTTCTTAGATTCCTTTAAAGCAGCCATTACCATGGTCCCTAAAACTCAAAGATGTGAGTTTTGCTGTTTTGCTCCCTCAAACCAATGTTTGCTATTAGACAGGCATATAATATTTATGAAAAAAGTGCAGAAAGATGTTTATAAGTAGTGAAATACTATATTCACAAATCTCAAAGTTGGCAGAACTCAAACAATAATACTGTACATTATTAATGATCTGTATACAGCTATCTATATACCTATTTTATAGATTGAATGTAATGAATCCAATTGTTTGCAGGCATTTCAGGGATCTCAGATCAGAGCAAATGAGACATCATGTGAGCTATAAAGCCACATTTTAATGAGATAATCTCATTTTAATTTAACCGTAAACTGCAATCCTAACAAATTCTATTTAACATTTAAGGCAACAACAACAATAAAAAAATCCACCCAAAGGACAAATCCAATATCTAGAATCTACCAAACCAAGTAGTGTTGGATTTGAGATTTTAATCTGGATCCATCATGCTTTGGATCCTTCAGTTTTCAGTGATGTTTACAACCTAGGAAAATTAGGATCTAATTTCATATCAGTGCCCATCAGAAACTAAATGGTGGATAAACTTTAGTTTTTAAAAAGGGAGATAAAGTGGTAAGCAAAGTTTTTGAAATCACTTTTTCCATTATCGCCATTACTCAGGCTTTTGTCAACTCAAACAGTTATGCATTCCCAATTCTCTTCAGGCTCCTAAAGTTGTGACTGCACCACCCAAAAAAAAGCAAAGCAAAACAAAACATGACATTGAGTCTCAGACCCCAGGTCAAACTGAGTTAGACTTACAGGGTTCACGTAGCTACAAAATAGCAGTGTGAATATTTCCACTCAGGTTGGAGCCTGGGTCCTGATATTTACCCACTTGCCAAGTTTGATAACATAGGCAGGAATATTACACTACCCATTTTTAGCACCATAGCGCTCACTTGAGCCAGCTCACCGGTGCTCAAACTCGCTGCTGCAGGTTCTGTTTTGCAATGCAGACTTACTTCAGAGCTTATGTCAACTGACTGAAGCTAGTATTATAGGGCTAGACATTCCCACTCAGGATGGAACTCTGGCTCTGAAATCCAATGAGGGGAGTGAATCTGAGAGCTTGGGGTCCAGCCCAAGTGGGCATGTCTATATTTAGCCCTGTGATTCATGCCCCATTAGCATGAGTCACTTCACCTGGGCTCTAAGCCTTACTCCTGAGAGGTTTTTTTGTTTGGTTTATAAACAGTATAGATGTAAACTTAATATACTTTTCTATCATTTATTCTCATTCTCAGAGACTTCTTTGGGGATGAAACACTGTTGAACACATGCTTTTCCTATCCACTATTCTCTGGGTTCCTGCCCTACCATTCTAAGTATTCTATGTGGATTTCATATGTACGGTTATAACTTGTCTCAAAATATATATACAGAATTCACCTGTGTCTTCAACGGACCTTTTGTTATCTTCTGCCTAATTAATTAATTATTATTATTACTATTCTAATTATTTTACTGGCTCTTTCTATAAATAATTATAATTACTATTCTAATTATTTTACTGGCTCTTTCTATAAATAACAAGCTTGTTGACAATACTGCTGCCTGGATAATCTATCAAACTATGTTTCTGATATGACTCCTGACACCACGCAATCACCTCCCAACCAACCCCCCACTCTACACTAAATTTAAAGTTCTTGTTCCAAACTAGATAACTAGATTAGCTTTCATTCACTAGAATGTAACAAAATAATGTCTCCATTATGAAAATGCACAAAAACCTACCTTGGATTAGTACAAGCCCAACTTTATGATATTAATATTTCTAAAATTATCTTCATGTATTAAGTTTTTCATTTCAATCATTAATGAACAAGTTGTAAACCCTTAACAAATAAATGTGATCTAACTGAAGTGTTGGAACCCAAACAAGAACAGTGAGAACAGTGCAAGAGAAAAAAATTAGAGAGAGATTAAAGTGGCTTCTAGAGTAAAGCTCAACTTATTTTAGGACTAACATGCACTTGCTAAGTAATGCTACCAGACAACGTGATTAGTAACTTAGAACACAAAGTTGTTTAACAGTCAACACCTTCAGAATATTTTACAGTTAATTTCTTGTAAAGGAAGAACAAACCTGGGCCACTTTAACAGAATTTTGAGTAGAGCCACCAGCATGATATTCTACATTGAACCTTTTCACAAGTTCTTCAAACCTGTAAGAAACCACAGGGGATGGGGGGGAGAAAGGAAGTCAGATTCTGCAATTTTTCACAGTGTAAAAACTATGTAAGCATCTAGATTAGAAATATATGAGATCATGTTATTTGTAAACAGGAAATTCAGGCATATTAGCTCTTTTACAAGGTGTTAGCTGAGAAAATGCAGACTAAAATAGCATGCTTGCACAGTATGTGCACTAAGCAAATGGCTAAATGACAAAACAAGCAAGTGGTAGCAACTTGATTTCATTCCTTTACAATTATATCATAAATCTAGAACATTCAAAGAATGTCTCAGGACTACAGCATCTGAAGTTAATGCATGATAACAACTTTCAAGCTTTTAAGTATATACTCACAGGTAAAAGAAAAAATCAAGGAAACCAATGAGGAGATACTGATTTCACACTTCCTCTAGCTAAATCTACCATATATTTGACAGAGTTTGTGTATCCGTCCATCCATCTATGAGTCTGTTCAAGAATTCCTCCTAAATGGTAAGAGCTAGGACAAGTAGATTTCCTTCTACCATACTTTAAAGCAAAGTAAGGGTTTGGTTGTGCCAGGACAATGGGATGTATGTGGAATGTGATTGTTTCTCACCAAATGGAGGGCTATAGAAGCATGGATAGTTATACTGCAGAATGACCACATGGGGGCAGAAAGCACAGGGAACATTTATACTCCAGAATGACAACGGCGAATAGTAAGCAAATGTGATGTCACCACCCTGACAGTCTCAGAGAGTCCTACAGCAATTGCTGGCAAGACAGTGCAGCCCCCACCGTCTCAGGGGAGTGGTCCCTGCTACCTCGACAGCCCCAGGCTGGCCTCTGGGAGCAGCCGGGCAGGGCAACCCTGAGGAGCAGCCACCCCCCACCCACCTTCACTGAGCCTCCCACCCCTTGCTCTGAGCACTCTCACCCCAACCCTGATTCCTGCACCCCCTACATTCCCAGCCTCCTGTTCTGAGGTCTTCCCTACCCCCAACCCTGACTCCTGCTCTGCTCCTACCTCCCCACACCTCCAGCTCTGAACCCCCACATTTCCAAGCCCCATCATAACTCTTGTACCCTTCACACTTCCAACCCTGTGGCCTGAAGGATCCTAACAACACTGGGTAAATCTTCTAGTACATAACATAAAAGTTCAATAAGATGCTGTATCTGCTTTAAAACCGTATTCAAATAGCATTTCTTCCAAATGTAACACTATTTTAAAGCATGAAGTTTTAACTTGTTTGTCAGGTGCTGGGGCTTAATAAATTGATCTACTGCTAATTTGAGAAAAATTTGGATATAAATGATAGGAATTGTAAAATGTACATAAATTGTGGCAAACCAATTGACTAGCTTTCGGTTTTCTAGTCCTCTAAGCTGGATCAGTGTGAAAAATAAATTAATTAATCTAAAAGCCCTAGTTGAGGAATGTTTCAAAAGAACACTTGGTTTCACAAGCAGAACCTATTTTCACAATATAAAAATATGTACAAACACAGCTTGATTACTTTAAAAGGAAAAGTCACTGTTTTTAACAAAGCATACATAACATACACGTTAATAATGTCTGGACTGACTAGTTCGCTCTGGTGCATAGCTACCACTGAAAAAAAATAAAAGGACTTTGTTAAAAAATGTAGTGCAAGTTGAATATTTTATGTTCTAGAAATGCCAATAAATGGTCATTGCAAAAGTAATGTAAAATTTAATTAGGTTTCATTACCATCAAGAAAAAAAGCCAGTATTCAAAAGACATATAGTGAAATCTTACTTCAGGGACCACTTCAAGGGACCAACTAAAATAGCTTAACAGAAGAGGTCTTCTAATAAAGATGGAACAGAATAGTAGTCTACATATTTGTAGTTTTTCTGCAATAATCTCTTACAAATTGAATAGTGATAGAAATGTAGCCGTGTTAGTCTGGGGTAGCTGAAGCAAAATGCAGGACAATGTAGCACTTTAAAGACTAACAAGATGGTTTATTAGATGATGGGCTATCATGTGCCGAAAGTGTCCGTCTGCTATGTACATTGGACAAACATCTCAGACACTTCGCCAAAGGATTAATGCCCACAAAACAGATATCAGACAAGATCACAAAGAGAAAACAGTTTCTTGCCACTTTAACCAGAAAGGACACTCTCTAAATGACTTAGCCACCTGCATTCTGCTACAAAGACCTTTTACATCTGCACTTGAAAGGGAATCCTCTGAACTGTCATTCATGTTAAAATTCGACACTTACCAACAAGGACTTAACAAGTCTTTGAACTTTCTCACCCATTACCAAGACAGTTTCCCCAATTATCACCTGTAATACCATTAACTCACAAACATCCCACTCTCCCTACCTTTAATATCAGCAATTCACAGACACTTACCTTCCTTCCTCCCCCTTCCCACCCCCCCGCATCCCCCTTCTGTTCTGCAATGTGATTTGTCCTTTTCATATTTGTTCATTTTTTTTAATTGTATCCTTTGGTATATATGGTTGTGACTACTTTCTTCCACTATTTGATCTGAGGAAGTGGGTCTGGCCCACGAAAGCTCATCATCTAATAAACCATCTTGTTAGTCTTTAAAGTGCTACATTGTCCTGCATTTTGCTTCAACTACCCCAGGCTAACACGGCTACATTTCTATCACCAATCTGGAGGGGAGCTAGAGCGTTAGTGTGGGAACCTTGAGTCTCGAGGGCCACACTCACGTGAGCTGGGGTATTAGGTTCCTGAAGGTTGACTAATAAGGATATCCTCTTGCATAAGTTTAAATGAAATTAATATGTTGACTGTATGAAAGTGTATTTCTTTTCATGAATCACAACCCTGATTATTTTCCTCTGCTGGTATATGAATAAGGAGATAATAATGAAAAAAAATGTTTCCCCTCCTTTTCATGTACCTAATTTTCAAGTTTAGCAACCATCCACACAATAAATACTTGTAGCAGGAAGCTTGTGCTATCACAAGAATGCAATTTGTAAAGTCAAGTGTGTAAAAAAGCTGGGAAAGACTAAGAATTTAAAAACAAGATGGCAACACACCATGAATCCTGGGGATGACTGAACCTGATATTATCGGCAGCAGGAAACCTCATCCATGTATGTAGCTGTTTCAATTGTTTCACATTGACTCAGCTGACGTTCTAGGCTACAGCGTGATTTGGGGAGCTATTTTATGTTGGTTGAGTTGATTTGCATAGCCTCCATCATACAATCAATGAAATTGTTGCAGGCAAATTAGCAGCAAAGTAAGGGTGATGACTGGTTGAATTACCTCTGACATCACAATAGGCTAGGACAATTGTGCCCAAGTTTTTCTGGTCATGCCCTCCCTTACTAGTAGAATCTATCCACACTCCCCTCCTCCATTACTGAACAGTTGGCTCAGAAGAGAAGCTTGTGCTGAAGGTGGTGCTGAGGCTAGAGGCACAACTGGCCTAAGAGGCAGAAAGGCAGTGAGGGCAGGGTGGGCCAGTGATAGGTTAACATGGTGATATTCTGAACACAAAGAGCTCTCAATCATACTCTTGGCCATTTCCATCCCTTCACATTGACTCAATGCACATTTTAGATTTCAGGGTGACTCACAAAATCCTATTATATAAATACAGATTACCTCTAATGCAACAATGAAGAAGGAATTATCACCAGTCAGGAATTATCTATTAAAGAGAGACATTCTTTCAACACATCCACTACTGCCAAAACACAAATCCCAATGGTCATGGTCCAGATCCAGTGTATCTATTTAGATTCTAGTCTGTCTTGTGCTCAAAAGCCATAGTGAAAAATAAATTTATTGGAAAAAAGACTTTATTAGCTGCTATGCAGAAGAAGAAAACAATGCCTGATTTTCAGATTGACTTTAAAGGCCACTCAAGTCAATTTCAGTATGTCTGCTTTTCACTAGTAATGCTATTCCTTATCTTTTATGGTTGAAGTTACACTAGTGTAGACAGAGTGTTGCTGGAAAGTTGAAGCTATTGGCTTAACTCGAAATAAACTATGGAAATTGAGCGATGTCAGTTGCATGGCTTATTTTGAAATAAGGAGTGTCTACACAATACTTATTTTGAAATAGAGCATTCTTCCTCTGACTTCCCTTATTCCTCGTACAATGAGGCTGTGTCTACACTGGCGCGATCTTGTGCCAGAGATATGCAAATGAGGCTAAGCGTGGAATATCGCCAAGCCTCATTTGCATACCTAATGAGCCGTCATTTTGCGCAAGCGGCTCTTGCACTAGAAGGAGCTGTCTACACTGCCCCTTCTTGCACAAGAAAAACCCTCTTGCGCAATGCCGTTATTCCTGAAATAATCAGCGTAGTCCCCCTGCCCCCGGCCCCGCATGTCGCCCAGTCCAGCACTAAATCTGGGGAGGACACTTCTAGTGAGTTCACAAACTTTTTCTAATTATAAGCGGGTTAAGGCAATGGGGCATGAGGCATGGTGCTCTCTGTGCCTACACAGCAAGGGGACCCAGAATAGTTTGTTAATTTGTCTGCAGATGGAGCAGGAGACTTGTAAGCACAGCTCCATGAAGCTCTCACATAGGAACTCTTTGACCCTTCTCACAAGGTTTTTGGGGAGGCCAGCCTTATGACATCCTCTGATGTAGGACACCATTCCATGCCAAGCCACCAGGAAGTAGTCTGACATCATTGAACCAAAAAGGCGGAAAACATAAGGCCCAGATTTATGGCCACATTCAGTTAGCATATGCGTCCTATCACTCTGTGTGATTGATATCTTGCATGGCAACCTGTGGGTAGGAGGTGGGGAAGCTATCAATCACACAGAGTGATAGGGCGCATATGCTATCTTGTATGGCAACCTGTGGGTAGGAGGTGGGGAAGCTATTATCACTCTACCTTGGAAACTGCACGTGCTAGATACAGATTCCCCACCCCACCTCCACCTCCTGTGGGCAGGAAAAGCAGGACTCTCCCCAGGAAGCCACATGTGCAAGACACAGCTGAAAGCCATCCTCTAC